ATCCATGGATTGGATCTGGGGATTGGGGAGCATAATGGATCGGAGTCCTCAATCCGCAGATCCGAACCATCCTGTGGGGATCGTCAGCATGCAACCTATACAGGGTGACCCCGGACCCGCTCCACGAAAAGGTAAGTTGTAAAGAAAGCCGACAAACCCCGCATCCATCGTCGACTTGCTTTACAACTTACCTTTTCGTGGAGTGGGTCGGTGTCACCCCGTGCGGTCGGTGTCACCCAGTGCAGTTCGCACCCCCCCACCTGCCTTGGGACACCACTAGCTCTATGTTTGGGATCAAACATCCTTCTTTTGAAGGTCATTTTCATTTTTATTTTCCCCTGTAAACTGCAGCCCTGCAGTAGCTGATAGAGGTATAGTGTCAGGCTGTGCTGGGCATGGATTTCTTATACACCGATCAGCCATAACATTATGACCACCCACCATAACCCATCGAGGCATGGACTCCACTAGACCCCTGAAGATATGCTGTAATTGTAAAGAAAGCCGACGACCCCCGCAGAATGGATTGGATCTGCGGATTGAGCATAATGGATTGGAGTTCGATCCATTATGCTCAATCCACAGATCCGATCTATTCTGCGGGGATCTTTGGAGGGGGTGTCACCAAGTGTTACCGCACCGGGTGACACCAACCCTAGGGACGCCCCTGCATAGAGCTGTACTGAAAAACAGAATGGAGGTGTGGATACCTGAGTGCAGACCTATCCTAATCCTGACCGGTACATCAGGCATGTGCCTCATCTGGAAGCTGCCCACAGAACTCAGGATATCTAGTGACATGTTGGCGATCTCTGCCGCGTGCCTGTTTCCGTTCCTCTTGGGAAGACCTGATGCCACCATATAAGCATCACCGATTGTTTCCACCTGTGAAGAGACAAGTTATTATGATGGGATAACATGAGGAAATTAACCCCTTCACGCCTTAGGGTTAAAACAAATCGAAATGCCTAAGCACAATTTTGCAATGTTGACATGTGAATTATACCGCGTTTTTTTCAGGACAAATTGGGCTTTCATTTGGTGGTAAATGGTAATGGATATCTCCTGATTTTTTTTTATTATCAAAGGAACACTGGCCCAAAATAGTAAAAAAAAACAAATATTTTTTTATTTAGCTGCGTGTTTCTTGTTACTAACATAACCTACCACCACAGAACAACCCAAAATAAATTCTTCAGCTCTTGACAATCGCAGCGATACCATATATGTGTATGTTATTTGTTGTTTGTACCTGTAGTGAAGCCCAGAAACAATAGTGCGCGTTTTGTTTTTGGGTTTTTTTTTACCTAAAACACACTGACACAAATTTTTTTTTTAAATCCTGACCTTTGACCCTGACCCAACCACTTACCATGGTACTGAACTAGATCAAAACTTGATCTAGGTATTTTTTCTATATTTTTTCTTTTATTTTTTAATATTTATTTATTTTTATTTTTTTTACAAATCTTTTTTTTTTCCCCTCTATGCCAGGAGTTAGAGATATACAATGTATCTATCTCCTCCATTCATAGAGAGAGAAAAAAATAAAGGGTTGGGCTGTACAGTGACTGATCAGAGCCAATCAGAGGCTATCACAGCAATCATGTGACCCAGAAAACGGGAGTCTCGGGTCCCGATCATTAGAACGGGACCCGGTGCTCTCAGTGACACCGCGGTCTTTGTGCTGGGAACGCGCTGTGCGGCGTGCTCCCAGCACAAAGACAGGTACACAAAATCTGCAGCCCCACGGAAAAAAGCCCAGTTCTGTGATGCCGCATATTTGTGTTACATCAGCATCAAGGGGTTAAGCAGCACAGTGGCTAAATGGTTAGCACTTCCACCTAGCAGTACAAGGGTTGTTGGTTCAAATCCCAACCATGGCACCACCTGCCTGGAGTTTGCATGTTGTGCTTGCATGGGTTTCCTCGGGTGCTCCAGTTTCCTCCCACACTCTAAAGACATGCTGGTAGGTGAATTGGCTCCTGTCTAAATTGTCCCTAGTATGTGTATGTATGAATGTGAGTTAGGGACCTTAGATTGTACGCCCCTTGAGGGTTAGGGACCTTAGATTGTACACCCCTTGAGGGTTAGGGACTGATGTGAATGTACAATATATATGTAGAGTGCTGCAAAAATTGATGGTGCTATATAAGAACCTGAAATAAATAAAGAACAATTTGCCTCTGTCTATTTCTTTGCCCCATACTTAATAAAGTGTATGGCTGGGCACAGAAGGTTTGAATTTTGGCTATTCAGCCCATGAGAGACAGAGAAAATCAGTCAATTCCTCCATCCACGCTCAACATGGTGGAAGTATTCAGGTAACCGTGGCTTCCATGGTTGTTGACACTGACATCTGATAGGATGCCGTCACTATTTGGCTGATAATTTTCTGCAGGACCATCCATGATTTGAATTTTAGCAAGAATTGGTTGAAATTTGAGTCACTAATGGGGGTCTGATGCGGGCTTTATCCTTACCTTAAAGTGGTTGTGGACCTCAGACATGAAATATGAACAAACCATACCCCTCCATAGTGTGTACTTGTCTCAATTAGGAACACTAATTATAATTCCTGTCTGCTGCTTTGTTCCTCTGTAATCAGCATGAATCACTTCTGACAGGTTTTCCTGACACCAAGAGAAAATTGGTGACAGGGGAGGGACCTCAAGCAGATTGACAGCCTTAGCTCTGCTCCTGTGAGCTGTGTTGAGGGGCGGGGGTGTGGTTCTTCCCTCCAATCAGCTCTGCAGAGTGTAACTTCAGCTCTCCACCCCTTTTTTTTTGACAGCTCTACAAACTTTCTAAATTCAGCACTTTCAATGGATGTAGAAAAGAGAAGACTGCAGATAAACAGGTACAACCTATATAGGAGGATTTGTTCCATCTCTGTGTATCACCTGAGGCCAGTCACTTCACTGGGTTTATTTTATTTATTTCAGGTACTTATATAGCGCCGTCAATTTACGCAGCACTTTACATATATATTGTACATTCACATCAGTCCCTAACCCTCAAGGGGTGTACAATCTAAGGTCCCTAACTTACATTCATATACAAGGACCAATTTAGACAGGATCCAATTAACCTACCAGCATGTTTTTGGAGTGTGGGAGGAAACTGGAGTACCCAGAGGAAACCCACGCAGGCACAGGGAGAACATGCAAACTCCAGGCAGGAGGTGCTGTGGCTGGGATTTGCACCAACACCTAGTGGAAGTGCTAACCATTTAGCCACAGTGCTGCCCACAACCATTACAACCATTTTAAAACTTTAGTGTTGGATAGTGTGAAGAATGATCAAAGCTGCCTAAATTTTCTTTTTCCTAGTTCCTCCCCACCTCCCCATCAACACACTAATTTCATTATTAACACTTTTCCCTTTTCATGATTTTCATTTTAGACATCATTACTGGGACTCTTCTCTATGCAATGCAGGCAGACCATGGCTGGTTGAAGCGGGCAGCAGGGTGTTATACATTAGTGATGGGCCGAACACCCCTCTGTTCGGTTTGTGGTCGAACATTAGAACCTAACAAAAGTTTGACCGCGAACTTTGAACAGCATTTCCGTCCTTTATGTACATACACCTGTGGGGTGTAGTATATAAACTTGACCATCGGGCGTAGAAGCATTACAGACGCAAGGGAAGAAGGTTGTAGAAAAGTGCTTATCAGGTGTGCCTATCACAGCTTGATGTTTGAATACAGCTGTACCGTGTAAAGATTCTTCATCAAGGGTTCCTGAAGATCTTCAGGCATATTGTATAACATCCTCAGAACTACTAGATCTCCAATAAGACAATTGATTTACATTCATCAGCTCCAGGGGCGGACTGACCATTTGGAAACTCGGGCACTGCCCGAGGGCCTGGGGTCAGTAGGGGGCCCCATGAGATGCCCCTGGTACCTTTTTCATAGGCTTTTTTGAGTTTGTGCAAGGACACAGGGGCCCCATGATCCCCTATTGCCCAGGGGCCACATGAGTTGTCAGTCCGCCCCTGATTAAGTCAACCGATATTTTAGTAGTGAAACATTCTTTATTGTTTCTGCTGTCAGTGGGGTTCCCCGCTGACAGATGAATGTAAAAGAATTTCCGGCATTGCCCAGCAATTACATTTTTTTTTTAAACGTGTGGGGCCCCCCCCCCCCCCCTCACCTATACCAAGCCCTTAGGATCTTGTATGGATTTTGAGGGGAACCCCTACATAAATTTTTTTTTTTAAAAAGGAGTGGGGGTCCACCCCAAAATCCAGACCCTTATGCAGCCCGACATGTCAGAAAAGGGGGGGGGGGTGAGCGCCCCTCCCCCAGAACCATACCAGGCTACATGCTCTCAATATGGGGGGGGCTTTGGGGCAGGGGAGGCTCCTCCCCCCTAAAGTACCTTGTCCCCATGTTGATGGGGACAAGGGCCTCTTCCCCACAACTGTGGCTGGTGGTTGTGGGGTCTGTGGGTGGAAGGCTTATCGGAAACTGGAGGCACCCTTTAACAAGGGGGCCCCCAGATCCCGCCCCCCCCATGTGAATGAATATGGGGTACATGGTACCGCTACTCATTCACAAAAAGAAAAAGCGTAGTAAAAAAATGACGGGAGACAGTCTTTGACAAGTCCTTTATTAAAATCAAAAATAAAAAAATATCCCTTGAAGTAGATCCAATGTCAATCACAATGCCCACTGCCACCGCCCACTTGTGACATAATCATGCGCTCTGATTGGCCAGAGCATTGCACCTGATCTGTCAGGGCACCGTACATTGTGGGGTGCAGTGGGCAAACAGCCCGCCCAACGACCTTATGTGTTCGTGTTCGCCGAACACACAAATGGCCGATTTTCAAGTTGAACTTATGCCCAATACTATTGTACGTAGCTTCCTGAAAATAGGAAGCTGTTGTAACGCCTACATGTGAGGCTGAGCCTCCACAATTTAACCACTTGCCATCCAGCCGCTGTATATAAACGGCCGGACGGTGGCAGTCCAGGGGCAGGTTGCCGTTCATAAACGGCGCCCGCCATTTTGGAGTGTGCGCACTCCCTGGGAACGTGCAGCACCACGATCCGGTGCCCGCTGTGTCCTCCGGGCACAGTGGAACACCAATCATCGTACGGGACCTCTGTGCGAGGTCCCGATCATGTGATTACTGCTTAGCCAATCAGCGATCACATGCAGAGTAGTAAGAAAGATGTCACTTCTGAAATCATTGCTTACTACGTGTGAGGTCCCAATCATGTGATCACTGATTGGCCAATCAGTGATCACATGAATAGTAGTAAGAAAGATGTCATTTCTGACATCATTGCTTACTACGTGTGAAATCTGTGAATGATCACAGAGGTCACATGGTACAAGACTATTCAAAACACCTTTTACCATGTGACAAGCTGTGACCAATCACAGCTCACACAGTATTTCTCAATGGCTGCAAGAATGCAGCCAGAGAGAAGGTTAAATCATTACTTTTACAGCCTTTATGGGTGTAAAAGCAATCAGTGTAATAAAAAAGAAAAAAATCTTCAACTCCCCCAGAAGTAGTACAGTGTCACCATGGTGACACTGTACTGCTAGGGTGACAGTATGTAGAAAAAAAACCATAAATAATAATATAAAAAAATAAAATAAAAATGTAAAAAAAAATTTTTTAAATAGAATTTTTGGTTATAAACTAATTTGGGTTATTTGTTTTTTTACTAAAAAGATAACTGAATAAATTTTGGCCAAGATTTATAATGAAATATTATTTATTTGCAAACTTTTATAAGAAAAACATTTTTTTTCAACATTTTTGGACTTTATATCGTTTGTATCGTTTATATAGCAAAAAAATAAGAATTCCAGTGGTGAATAAATACCACCAAAATAAAGCTTCATCTGTCTCAAAAAAATGATAAAAAAATTATATGGGTACAGTGTTGCATGACTGCGCGATTGTCATTCAAAATGTGATAGCACTGAAAGCTGAAAATTGGCCTGCACAGGAAGGGGGCGAAAGTGTCCAGACTGGAAGTGGTTAAAGAACTGAAATTCAATGAAAAAAAAGGGTAGAGCCAGGGACAGTCAGGCTGGGGAGGAAAGCTCTAGATGATGCTGGACGTCTTCCAGCCAGGAATTGAGGCGGGCTCTACCTGACTTGCTGCAGCTTTTAATGCACATTGTGAGAAGCTCACAGTATGCACTGAAATCAGAGCAAGCACCTTTAGTAGAGGAGAGGATCCTGTGCAACTGTGCAAGACTGAAGGGAAGGCTGCTGTTTGGCTTCCATTGAACAGAATGCCATTTATTTCAATACCTGCCCGGGTGCCAAATCTTCCCCATTCTCTTCCAAACTAAAACAAAGAACATTTCGGCTAGACACAAGTTCAATGGAGATGCCACTTGTGGTCTGACTGCTGCTGCCCTCTCTACTGCCTGAGGTCACACACTGGGGTGGATTTACTAAAGACAAATAGACTGTGCACTCTGAAAGTGCAGTTGCTCCAGGGGAGGAGAAGCTTCACTTTACAAATACCCAATCACGTGCAAGCAAAATGAAAAAAAAACAAACAAACAAGAAAAACAGCATGTGACTGGATGATGGAAGTCAACTGAGCTTCCACTTTGAAGCAACTGCACTAAGGCTGGATTCACACCTATGCAGGTTGCGTTTCAAGCCGTTTCTGCATTGCATTTTGTTCATTGTGTTTCTGCCGCATTTTTGCTGTGTTTTGTGGTTTTTTTTTTTTCATTTTTGTAAATTTTTCATGTTGCTAGGCAGATTTAAAAACACAAAACAAATCAAAAACGTGGCAAAGACGCAGCAAAAAACACAATACATGCTTTTCTGCAGCGTTTCCATGGAAGTCTATAGAACCAAAAATGCATATTTTGCGTTCAAAAAAGTCCCTGACCCTTTCCAAACAATGCACGGGGTGAAAACGCACAAATGTGAACATGTCCCATAGGAAATCATGTTAAATGGACTGTACTGCGTTTCTGCACAACACTGCAGAAAACGCTTAGGTGTGAACTTGGGGTTACAGGGGTTGATTTACTAAAGACAAATAGACTGTGCACTCTGAAAGTGCAGGTACTCCAGGGAGGGGAAACTTCACTTTACAAATACCCAATCACATGCAAGCAAAATATATAAAAAAATAAACAGCAATTTTACTTGCACGTGATTGGATGAGGGAAGTCAGATGAGCTTCCCCTTTGGAGCAATTCCACTAAGGCTAGGTTCACACCTATGCAGGGTTGCGTTTGAGCCGTTTCTGCCGTGTTTTTTGATGCGTTTTACATTTTTTTTATTTTTTTAAAATTTCTTGTTGCTAGGCAGGTTAAAAACACAAAACAAATCAAAAACGTGGCAAAAACGCAGCACATGCTTTTCTGCAGCATTTCCATGGAAGTCTATAGAACCAAAAATGCAAATTTTGCGTTCAAAAAGTCCCTGACCCTTTCCAAAAACAATGCACCTGGTGAAAACGCACAAATGTGAACATGTCCCATAGGAAATCATGTTAAATGGACTGTACTGCGTTTTCTGCACAACGATGCAGAAAACGCTTAGGTGTGAACCTAGGGTTACAGGGGTTGATTTACTAAAGACAAATAGGCTGTGCACTTTGCAAATGCAGTTGCTTCAGAGATTAGTAAATGAGATTAACCTTCGTTTTGCAAAAACCCAATCAGGACAATAAAAAAAACACCATTTTGGCTTGCACGTGATTGGACGATGGAAGTCAGCAGAGCTTTCCCTTATTTACTAAACTCTGGAGCAAGTGCACTTATAGTGCACAGTCTATTTTACATAGTTACATAGTTAGTCTGGCTGAAAAAAGACAAAAGTCCATCAATCCACTAGAAAGCAGGGTATAGTAGTTGAGCCTGTAGCCAGTGATACCTTGAGCAGCCCAAAAAAACTACACCCTGCTCCACTGATTACAGAGGAGCTACATAGTTTAGATAGTTAGTCTGGCTGAAAAAAAAACAAGTCCATCCGGTTCAACCATTAAAAAAAAAAAAGTTATAATCCTATACCCACAGTTGATCCAGAGGAAGGCAAAAAACCCAGCAAAGTACGATCCAATTTACTCCTGCTGGGAAAAAAATTCCTTCCTGATACCCCGAGAGGCAATCGGTTATTCCCTGGCAGGGGGCGGACTGACAACTCATGGGGCCCCGGGTAATAGAGGATCATGGGGCCCCTGTGTCCTTGCCCAAACTCAAAAAAGCCTATGAAAAAGGTAGCAGGGGCATCTCATGGGCCCCCTACTGACCCCGGGCCCTTGTGGCAGTGCCCGAGTTTCCAAATGGTCTGTCCTCTCCGTTTCCCTGGATCAACTTTACCTGTAAATGTTAGTATCCAGTTATATTTATATTTACCTTTATTAAATCCACCCCACTGTCTCCCAGCTCCTCTGTTTGCATAAGAGCTTTAAACCATTGAAAGGTATTTAAAAAAAAAAAAAATGGAAACCCCTTGTCTGAAAAAGAAAAACCCCTTGTAAAAACGTAAAAATGTAACCCTTACCTTGTAAACGTCGTGATTGCCCAGAACCGCATCGAACAGAGTATAAAGGTCGTTGAGAAGGTCGACCACTTCAATGGGCTCACTGAGTGCAGAGATCGTGGTGAACCCAACAATATCACTGAAGTAGATGGTGACTTGATCGAAGTATTCTGGCTCCACCGTGCCTCCTGTTTTAAGAGCTTCCGCCACAGACCTAAACAAAACCACAAGCAATTATTTGAAGCTTTAAAGCTGAACTCCGGGCAAACAGCCAGATACACAGATGAATTGCATGCTGTATGTGAGAGCGGCTCTACCTGCCAAAGGATTTGTACACTGATCAGCCATACTTTTATGACCACCCACCTAATATTGGGTAGGCAGTGCTGGGACAAGAGCATCTATAGCCCAGGGCGAACATGCCAAAATGCATCCCCATCCCCAAGATGTATGAGCTTTATGTGCTAGAAAAAAATCCACCCCCCTCCAAAAAAAACAAAAAACAAGCACTAATCTGCATGCTTACCCCTAAGCATACATTTCCCCTCCTCTCAGTTCAAATCTGCCCCACTCCCTGCTGAAACCCCCCTCGCAGCACAAAGCTTTGCCCCCCCATTCCCCCTCCCAGCTCAAATCCTCTCTCACACCCAAATCCCCCCACACCCCAAAAAATAAAATCACCCCCTCTTAGCACGAATCTTCTACCCCTAAAATTTCCCCTCCAAGTACAAATGCTCTTCTCCCCACTCAAAATCCTTCCCCCAGCAGCACAAATCCCCCCCTCCAATCCCTCCTCCTAGAATAAATACCCCCAATTTCATCCCTACTAGCACAAATCTCCCTCCCAAAAAAAAAAAATCACCCCCTCTTAGCACGAATCTTCTACCCCTAAAATTTCCCCTCCAAGTATAAATTGCTCTTTGCCCCACTCAAAAATCCCCCCACCCAGC